TGTAAGGTGTTGCTTTAAGGGCCCAAAAATCGAAATATCAAGTGGCTGTAGAACATGAGATGTATGAGGAGGTATTATAAGGAGCGATATTCGATTTTGAATGTAGTGTGATATAAAGCTTCCACTTATATAGCTATCGTGGCCGTTGCAAATAAGGAGCCTCTGTTGTAGTTTTCCATTTAGAAGTGTTGCTTTTGCTCTTGTAGAGGGCTCAAAAACGCGTTTTAACTACTCTAATCCATGTAGATTGCTTGTCCATCCTTTTGTGTTTGCAGAGAAGTGCCATTTTTGTATAACGTCCTTCGGAATCCAGCTCTATAGTATATTCTGTCCTTTGAAGATAATGAGGGGTTCGATAGCTGTTCCGTCTATACAGATGCATTTAACTGCAGACACCTATTCCTGTCGGCCAGGATGAGCCTGAAATCGCGTACGGAGCGTAGAGTCGACTATAATTCGTGTAGATTGCATAGTTCTAATTGAAAATCCAGTCTCATCTATATTATAGGTATTGTAGTTTTCGATTTTTAGCTCTGTTATAAGGCTTTTATACGCGTCAAACTACCCCCTTAACACCTCTTTTGTCACCCCATTCATCCTTTGCGCCTCAACTCTACGTCCTAACTTAACACGTAAGTTAGGATGCCTTTGAATGAATCGTGGAACCTACTCTTGCCTAAGAGGTAACTTAGGAATTTGAGGTTGTAGTTGTTGAGTTTGTAGTTGTTGTTGTAGGTGTTGTTGTTGAGGCTGAAAAACGCGACACTTATTTGACCGGACTTCATCTGCAACCTCCCGTAATATCCGATGGCTAGGAGCGTAGCCGCTTACAGTAAGCTCCTTAATCCACTTTAAGAGCGTTTGCTCTTGAGTTTTTGAGAGTAGTTGTTGCTTTTGACATGCTTCCTGTCGCGTATTACCACCATTAACACGAGCTACTACAGTATTAGGACGGAGACCTAGAGCCTTTGCAGCAGCATACGCTGATTTAAATTTTCCAGTCTATACTCCTAGAACTGCTTTAGACAGTTGTAAATTGCGTTCTTGAGCTCTCTTACTCTTACGCTTCACCATTGTAAGGTGGTAGTAGGTTGGTGTTAATGGGTTTGATGGGGTGGCCAACCCCACTATGTCGGTAAGGCCATGACTTACGTTACTCCCGATTACGCCATACTCCCGATTACGCCATACTCCCGATTACGCCACGACCTACGTTATCTATGGTAATAGTACGCATCTTAACGTATTATCTACAGAGCCTAGAAAACATCTACGACCTTATTAAAAAAGTTGATTTTTTTTGGTGAGGGGACACCACATGATTATGCCGGTTACGCCATTGTGCCGGTTACGCCACGACTTACGTTAACTCTAGAGTTGAAATGTGGAATTAACCCTTTAAAACAGCTCTCTTACCCTTATTCTGTACTCTACGCTTCTAAATAATTAACCGTAAGTTAGCTGTCTCTCTTTTTTAAAGAGTATTACGTGTATTAACGTAACGTAAGTCGTGGTCAGACCGGCTACATGGCCAGACCGGCTACTTAGCTCACCCCACTAAAACCAAGGTCACTAAATCAAAATTAAAACCATAATAACTTTTGTAATAGTGTATATAAAGCTTAATCCTCTTAAATTATGTTTTTTCATATAATAATCTAATATGTATATACACACTAGTAGTACTACCTTTGTTTTACAAGAGATATTAAGGCTTATATTTTTACTATACAAATATTTATATAGTAAAACTTAAAACTGTTATTAACTTATATAAAAAGACACTAGTAATATTACCCTTTTTACATATAGTAGATACATACTTAAAGTTTCTATATAGAAAAGGGATTTGCTCTAGCATTTTTATTAATAGAGTTATTATAGTTATAATTTTTTCGCAAGCATAAGTACTTCTGCATATAAATTTGTATGTGATGGTACTAATAGCCGGTCTGGCCATGTAGCCGGTCTGACCACGACTTACGTTAACGTAGGTCATGGCCTAAAGGGCTACATGGCCTAAAGGGCTATTCTAGAAACCACACCAAAATCCACGCTACGTGACTAAAATTAAAACCTTGATAACTTCTGTAATAATGGTTATAAATCTTAATGCTCTTAGACTATTACTCTTTATATAATCATCTAATATATGTAAAAACGCTAGTAGCGCTAGTCTTATTTTACAATAAATATTAAGGTTTTAACTTTTACTATATAAAATATTTATATAGTAAAACTTAAACTATAAATAACTCTTTAATAAGACTAACGTAAGTCGTGGCCTAATGGCACCAATGGCCTACTGGCACTAGTGGGGTTAGGCCGACCCCATCAAAGCTTCAAAAAATTGCAATAATTCAATTACTACCACCCTAATTCATCTATATCATCATCAGAAGGCTCTTCTTCGCTCTCTTCATCCATTTCCTCAATTATAGCTTCGTTTATAGGTCGTAGCGTTGTTCTAGGCCTCTGTGAAGCTATGGCTGTTGCTGCTTCTGCTTCTACAACTTGCGACTGGAGTTCTTCTGTAGAAATGTGGAATTGACCCTTTAAAACTGCTCTCTTACCCTTATTCTGTGCCCTACGCTTCTGGATAATTGAGCGTAAGTTATCACACTCTCTTTTTTGAAGGGTGTTGCGTGTATTAAGGCGTTCTGACTCATCTGCTAACTTATTGATATATCGCTTTGTAGGAGTATTAAGAGTACTACTCCGACTTATTGTAGTAGACAGAACTGTATTTGCTTTGTGAAGTGTTTGAAAATCAGGTGGACTGCTATTCAAAAATACCTTCTCAAAAATATCATGCTCTGTAGGAGTATGTGGTCGTTCTAATACTACTACGTCTATAGTAGGGAGCGTAGCTGCGCGAATGACTGTTTGCGGCTGGAATGGCTGTAGCCCACTCCCTCTCCATGCAGAATTAATATTTGCATTTGAAAAAGCAGCTGCTCTTGCAGTAATATATGCTTCAAGCCACTCTGCTTTCTGTATTCGTAGGAGTTGCGCCTCATTTAGGTGCGAGAGAGCAGTTGTAAGGTGTTGCTTTAAGGGCCCAAAAATCGAAATATCAAGTGGCTGCAGAACATGAGATGTATGAGGAGGTATTATAAGGAGCGATATTCGATTTTGAATGCAGTGTGATATAAAGCTTCCGCTTATATGGCTATCATGGCCGTCGCAAATAAGGAGCCTCTGTTGTAGTTTGCCATTTTGTGTTGCTTTTACTCTTGTAGAGGGCTCAAAAACGCGTTTTAGCCACTCTAATCCATGAAGATTGCTTGTCCATCCTTTTGTGTTTGCAGAGAAGTGCCATTTTTGTATAACTTCCTTCGGAATCCAGCTTTGTAGTATATTCTGTCCTTTGAAGATAATAAGGGGTTCGATAGCTGTTCCGTCCATACAGATGCATTCAACAGCAGACACCCATTCCTGTCGGCCAGGATGAGCCTGAAATCGCGTACGGAGTGTAGAGTCGACTATAATTCGTGTAGATTGCATAGTTCCAATTGAAAATCCAGTCTCATCCATATTGTAGGTGTTATAGTTTTCGATTTTTAGCTCTGTTATAAGGCTTTTATACGCGTCAAACCACCCCTTTAACACCTCTTTTGTTACCCCATTCATCCTCTGTGCCTCAACTCTACGTCCTAACTTAACACGTAAGTTAGGATGCCTTTGAATGAATCGTGGAACCCAATCTTGCCCAAGAGGTAACTTAGGTATTTGAGGTTGTAGTTGTAGTTGTAGTTGTGGTTGTTGAAGCTGTAGGTGTTGAGGCTGAAAAACGCGACACTTATTTGACCGGACTTCATCTGCAACCTCACGTAGGATTCGATGGCTAGGCGCGTAGCCACTTGTAGTAAGCTCTTTAATCCACTTTAAAAGTGTCTTTTCTTGATTTTTTGAGAGTAGTTGTTGTTTTTGACGCGCTTCTACACGTGTAGGCCTACCATTTAAGCGGCGCCTAATAGATTGCACAGGGAGGTCTAAAGCCTTAGCAGCTGCATAAGCAGACTTAAATTGATTTGATCGGACAGCTAATACTGCCTTCTCTATTTCAATATTATGCTCTTGGGCCTTAATACTCCTACGCTTAACCATTTGATGTAGTAGTGGTGATAGTCGAGTGGTTGATAGGGTGGGCCCAACCCCACTAGTGCCAGTAGGCCATTGGTGCCATTAGGCCACGACTTACGTTAGCAAGCTTAATAAAGGCTAGCACCTACTACCGTGGCTTTATGGCCCTTAATGCTACTTATACAAAATTAAAATATCAAATGATGCTTCTAATAGCTATAACAATTAACGCAAACGATAACTTATTACCACTTGCATAGGCCTTAGTACCTATAGAAAATGTTAAGTAGTGCACATGGTTCTTAAAATTCATCTAAGAGCATTTTTTATAGGCAAATAGTAAGCAAATGGTCTTTATAAGCGATAGAGATAAGGGTATTGCTTCTACTATTAAAACCAATTTTCCAAATGGTAGCCAAGCTCATTGTTGCCAACACATTGCTAATAACCTACAAAGTAAATTTGGTCTAACTTATAGGAATCAATTTTAGAAGGTTGCAAGAGTAAAGAATAGGATAGCATTTAAAGTAAGTTATTACCTATTTCCTTCTGTTCTAAGTTACTATGTGGTTCTATCCACTATGTGTGTTCTAAGTTACTACGTGTGTTCTATGTTAACCTATAATAGGAACAATGGAAAATAATAGAGGAGCTAAGCTATGAAGCAAGCTGCTATTTACGCAATATTCCATTTAAATTATAGACAAGCTGCTACTACCTATGGCCTCGATATAGCCATGATACATCAAATATTGCAGAGTCTTTAAATAGTGCCTAGCGCGATATCCGGACCTTACAACCCCTTAAAATGATGGACTCAATTTAGTCATATATTATGAAAACAGTCCATGATCGTAGAATACGCCCTCAAATGGGCCATGTAATTGTAGACATACTATGGAATAAATTTCAAGGGAGACTAAAGGAGTCTCATAGATTCCGGGTTTGTGAGTCTGGAAATGGCATATATCAGGTGCAAATACCTAATATAGGTTATAAGTTCATAGTTAACTTACGCACATTTGAGTGCTCTTGTATAAACTTTTAGGAACATCAAGCTCCTTGTTCTCATGCTATTTGCGCAGCAAGGTAAGTTAACTTAACTCTTAACTCTTAACTTAACTCTTAACTCTTAACTTAACTCTTAACTCTTAACTTAACTCTTAACTCTTAACTTAACTCTTAACTTAACTCTTAACTTAACTCTTAACTTACATACTAACTTATACATTTAGACATGATCTAATTGATCCTATTACACTTTTTGATGCAAGTTATCAGCTTAATACCTAACGTAAGTCATGGTGTAAAGTCGGTAATGGGGTAAAGTCGGTAGTGGGGTTAGGGCCACCCCATCAAAACCATCAAAAAATTGTAACAATTCAATTATTACTATGCTAATTCATCTATATCATTATCAGAAAGCTCCTCTTCGCTCTCCTCGCTCTCTTCTTCACGCTCACTATTAGTTAAGTTAACTATTAAGGTAGGTTGTTGCGTTGTTCTA